AAAAAAAAAAAAGAAAACTTTTTGCTTAACATGAATGGCCAATAACTGGCAAGAATATTTTTTTCAAAGTCACTGATGGTTTTTTTCTCATGCAGATTGCATCGTAAAAGCTCGTAAAAGAAATACTTTCGCACGTGAAATTTTGACCAAAAACTTAAACGGATTTGCTCTCTATACACATTCATAACCAAACGATAATAAAACACAGAACAACATTAAATAATCCAAATTCCAATAATCTAACTACCACGATCCTACCACCAGTGTCACCAAACCACGAGCTCATCTCGCACGTTGTTATCCCCGAACAATGGACACCGATAAATACTCAATTACTGGATGAGAACGCGCGATGAATGGCCGGTATTTTGTCTCCTATGAAAAAAAGAAAAAAGAAAAAAGAAAAAAGAGAGAGAGAATAATGGCAGACAAAGGTGTCTGGTGTTGGAATGAAAACAAGCCGGGGCGAGGTTGCATTGTCGACGCGTGGTCGAAAAGCAAAGGCACGCGCGTCATTGTTAGCAACGTGCACGTCGCGAAAGTTAGGTTAGGTTTGCTGGCGATCGAAGGCCATTTGCGCGTGGCGCGTGTGAACAACCGGACAACGACGCTGTTCGACACTGTAAATACCGGATGAGGTGCTAGTGACAAGACAAATTATTTGGAACGCGGCCAGCGAGCGCGTTTATCGCGCGTATTCTTGCAGGAGTATCGACTGGTGCGGCGGCCATAAACCACGTGGCTACGTGAACCACGCCGGGCAAGCATCGACGAATTGGGTCAAGATGATTAAACAATTTTAGGCCAGACTGCCGCCCTCGTTATTTTTCGTTAATTGTTGGAATTACGTGTACGCGTATATGCAACTTTGAGACACGGAGAAAATGAAGTTAATTGCAGTCGCTTTTGAAGCTGACGATAAGAGACGAGTGTATATAATAGAATAAACGGAGCATAGTGTGTTTAAAAAAAAAAATGGAGGTTCAGTTTGAATTTTCGGGATCTTTTTTTTTCCATCACAATCAATTGTAATTATGAAAAATTCTTCGTATTAAATAGCGGAGAAATTTTTTTTTCAAGATTCACACTATGTCTGTTAGTAGAATTCTAATTTCG